TATCTGGACGCACGATTGGTCTCGGCCACTACTGTCCTGTGCAAACTGAACTGAACTGAGTATTAATATTGGCCCCGCGGGGCCGCGGCAGCACAGGTGCACGCTCCACACTCACCGTAGAGTCACCAGGGGTCAAATCCTCGAAATACAGGTTTTGGAAAATAACTCTCTCAAAATCGGTTACTATGCGTTGAACTACTTTAAAAAGAATTTATTTATTTCCATTTGTCATTCTTTGTTGCAAGGCAACCGAGAATATGTTCGAAAAATAAGTATTCTCAAACATCCAAATTTTCACCATTTATCACACTCAATTAGAATCTTTTTGCCTGGTTATTTTATTTTGAATACCCCCGGTTAATTCCATGGCTTTATAATAACATATAAACCCGGAATGGAATTTTTGTTCTGTCCTTGTTCACTAGTGGTGAGCTTTTACCGTGGTAATTTTTTCCCTGAACTATGAACGTGATAGTCTGAATGAGTTCCTTACCTTTAAGTAATTTATTGTTATAATTGTCAATTATTCCTTTAGTTTTCGTTATACAATGAAAGGGTTTTTCGCGTACTGCTAAGTGGAAGCGTTCTAGGGAGTATCTACAGCGCATCCTGGGCCCTTCGATCTCGAATGAAGCAGCTGTTGTACATGCTTCTAAAGTAGAAAACACATCTTCTGAAGGTAAATTGCGAGAAATATCAAACAAAACATTATTTTTAAAATTTTCAGATTCAACTTCCGATAAGTCTGCTATCCCACCCGTATTGCATAGAAAATGCGATATTACTGCTGGTTCTTCGCCTCAGTTAGAGGCCACCATGTAAATTTCTATTTACTTGTTTTTATATCCAAAGGCGATCTTGTAGGAGCAACGTTTCTCATGTAGGTGCAACAAGATATTTCCCTTTGACGGAAATTCAACCCATGGACAGTATTGAACTTGGTCCATGTATAGAACAATTGCGGAAGGTGCAGGGTAACAATAAGTTCGTTTTGTCATACATATACATAGAGGAACTGGGTGCCCCTCATAACCTAGTGCAATCAATTTCAGTGCCGGCTGAAGTAGGGGATCAGTTAGGTTAGTATTTGCTCTCAAAATTATTTTAGGTCTACAGAGGTTTTAGAGAAACCAAGCCCATTTGTTGTTGCCAGACTAGTAGCTTTGAAGGCTCGTTTGTCGTTGAGAGCTGTAAAAATCATGTTGCATGAATTTTGCGCTATATTCCCGGAGCTTCCGTCAGATCCTAGGACATTACTGTCCAATCCGAGATTTACACCGAAAACCACGGTTGGTGATGGGACATACGTTCATTCCGGAGTATCTGATTGTATTCGACGTGTTACTGTTAGTCAATCACGTAACCAAGGGAATGCGCTGCAGCTCCAACTTCATATAGGTGGAATGTCTGTATTCCGAAGTTCTATGCAAAAAGTTTGGCCAATACTTGGTAGACTGTTTGAACCGCGTTCAACCATTTTCATTATTGGTCTGTATAATGAGATGTCAAAACCCACTGACGTTCACGCCTTCTTGTCCAATTTGATTGATGATCTGCGAGTTCTTCTGTGCGATGGCCTTCTCAATGTGGAGTCAGGGCACATTCAACGCGTTGAATTACATAGTGTTATTGCTGACGCTCCTGCCAAAGCCGTACTGAAGCAAGCAAAGCAGCACATTGGATACTGTTGCTGTCCCAATCGAATTCAAAAAGCTGTCTATATCAAGGGACGCTTGGCCTTCCGAACGGGTGTTTCCAAAGCACGCACATATTGGGATTTCCGTGCCCGTATTCACGATGATCATCATACTGGAATATCTCCTTTCGAGAGACTTCCAGTGGATATGATTGGTGTGTTCTCGACGGAATACGTGCATGCAGTCTGTCTGGGATTGATGAAACGGTTAATGTTTTGTGGCAAAAAACCGATAACAACCGTCGACCACCTATTAGCGCATCCATGTTGCAGGTGGCACAGAATCGGCTGGTGTTAGCCATTGAATATGTGACCTGCAAGTCTCCCAGACGTTGTCGCAGTCTGAATGATGTAGAACTTTGGAAGGCAACGGAGTATCGGCAATTTCTGCTGTACCTTGGACCGGTAATCCTACGCCACATCTTACCGTTGGAGATGTACGAAAATTTCCTGGAAGTTTCCGTATTCACGTTCATCTTTCGCAGCGGTAAATTTGCAACGCATTACTTGCCCTACGTGGAACAACAATCACTTCGCGTCGTTCGTGATTTTGCTCATTTGTACGACAGATCGCAAGTAGTGTATAATGTTCACATATGGACACACCTGACTCAAGACGTTCGACGATACGGGTGCTTGGTAATTTATCCGCCTTTCCATTTGAGAGTTACATGCAAACCATCCGCAACTGTGTAAGTTCTTGAAGTATAGTAGTGGAACAAATATACTGTCGAACTGTCGAACGTTTGAGTCGCTTTAGTGGGCTAGTTATGTGGACATGTATAGATGATACGGCCCCCCGCTGTGCTCACAGACCCGGTGATAAAAACAATTCCGAAGGTGTTCGACGGCACATTGTACGGAGCAAACATGCCTGACAACTAAGCACCGATTGGTTTGAATCCAAGGATGTTGGTTTTCATAGAAGACGATGTCGTAGGTGTGCGAACTTTCGGTTCAGTGTCTGATTTTTTCGACAGACCGATGAAATCATGCCGTTAGTGACTCAATTGATTACTACCCGTCCACAAGGTGAGGGTTCACAAAGTCGTTGGTAAGCCAATTAGCTTTAATTTGACATTTTCAGACGACTTCAAAGTTGCCAGTGAATTGGCCAAATTTTTGTTGGACAACACTGAGCTGTTGTCCACAGATGCCACCATTCCCATGGATAGATATGGGGAGCGAAAACTGTAAGTTCGTGTTGACATAACAATCAAGATAAAAGGAGACCAAGAGTATTGACAGATAGCAGTTCTGACCAGAACGAGTGTTGACATTGACAATTCAACACCGCCGCCAGCCTTGGAAGATATGTCAAGCTGCAGTTCGCCGAATAGGGTACCATTAGGGGAAATAAGCGGCAAACTCCTGGTGTCGCCGGTTTTCCCAGCAAGGGTGCCGTATTCTTCCACACCGGTAAACGCAACCGTGGAGGAACCCAAGCCGTAAGAATGTGTGAATACTCATAGTTATCTTACAGATCAACTAATCGCGTTAACCCAAAGGAACCCATTGTCAGTTAAGAACGTAGCACTTTCTAGGACATTTTTAATTTGTAGATCAAGTAGTCAGCAATCCCACGGGTGTGTGAAAAGGTAAACTTGCATTATCACTAACATGAAAACGTCTATAGCATGACTGCACTAGCACCGCGCACACATGTGCACAATGGGTAGACTTCCGCGAACTTAGATAACATATGAAATGATCTGAACTGGCTGAAAAGTAACTCGCCAGTTCCGTGGATATAATAATCCAAACGCAGTTACCGTTAAAGAGATAGCGGCGGCTTTCGTCGCCATGTCGGAGAACGTGAAAGAAGGACTCCGTCTGCATCAGTAGACGTATTGAAAAATCGAGATGAATTGACAGTGCTGAACTGTCGAATTCCTGCAAAGTCTTTAACTGAAGTTGGAGACTTATTGGAGAAGCTGGAAGAAGACACCATTTACAAGGATATGATTAGTGCTTCCTCCATTGGATCACATTTCAGGTGCATTATTTATCAAAAGCTTGCGACGAAAGTGTCGGCGATTGGGTTCGCCGCATTTGTCGACTACGTTTTGGCGACAGCCTATGCTTTCGCATGAACTGGAGGGGTAAACGTGGGAAAAAGTCTCTGTCTAACACTAGTATACCACGCCTCCTGAACGGTAAGTCCATTGAGTTTATTCATACAAAAAATAGATGCCATTATTAAACGGGGTCTCAAAATCACGGACCTTAATTTCGTGAGTCAAAAGATGCAGCGATGGATCCAGAGTATTCGGCAGTCGATATTCCAGACTGAAAAACGTGGACCGTATACAGATGCTGAAGTTCAATGGCCGTTGGGAGGATAGTTAGAATATTTCATATACCCTCATATATTTACACGATTGTAAGACAGTTTATATAGAGTTATACATAGTTACGTATACCTATAGAAATATGTATATTTATATTTATGTTTAAATAGACATATTGTGAAAGTTAAAACTAGAAGTCCGCGGTAGTAGACCAACTATGTCTCTCAGGATGCCTAATCGTTGACCCGATCACTGTGCGTTCGTGTACTGTTGTTTATGCTGATCGATGCAACATATTATATACTTAAATAAATGTATATATATAAAACATAGATACTTATATAAATGGGAATTATAATACAAACCTAATATCATATTATATCAATTTTATATTGTAATTGCCAACAATCTAAACGTATCTAAAACCTATTTTTCTTTCACTTGCAGGTGAAAATTTGGCAACAGGAGCTGAAAACCCAAACTTTTACATATTTAATATTATGTAAATAACTTTTTCCATCATCATCCGTGCAGTTTCATTTCGAAAAGTGGCAAGTGGCAGATCGTGCATTGATTAGGACGTTGGACCAAAGGGAACGGTAGAATTTATAGAGTAAGCATATTATCGTACTTTAGGTCGGTGTAGACAACTTTCCGATATTAGAAGACAGTAGCTTGAAGGAAAGAACCGTGGATATTAGGAATGTCAGAAATTTTGAACATAGTAGTAGGTGTATTGGGTGCGTTTAGGCTGATTTACTAGTAAATAAGGGAAGAATTTAATTATTAGCACAGTTTATAGCTTTTTAGTAAGCATTGATTTGATTTCGGGGAAAAAGAAAAGCTACAGCGATTTATTATTGGTAGGTGGAGTGGAGTTAAGCGCGACAATCGTTATAAATGGACTTTTGAAAAGTAGGGACCGATTTCTGCTTTATTCCTACAGTCACCTAGCATGTTCAAAATGGTATGAGGCGGTGACTGTCAAGCTGCTTCGGGGTTTTCCTGTCATTTTTTGTCTAATGTTTGCTCAGTTCTTTCTAAGCAATCGGACTTCGGTCTTCTGATTCACTACGGAGAGTACTCAAAAAGTTGTGCTACTCTTCCAAGATTCTTGGTTACAAGAATCCGTCGAGGAAGAATTGGTTCAGATCGAAGGCTTCCAATTCTTTCTAGCAGATGGACCTTCAGGAAGGAAAACTAAAGGTGGAGGCGTCATCACTTATGTGCGCCGGTCGTTGTGTAACTCTGTAATGGAAAAGATACTACATATACGAATGATTTAGGAATAAACGGTACATGGAACAGACTCACAGAAGGATGGTCCCGTTGGTTGCGTGATCCTGTTCTTCAGATGTGTGGTTCCGGTTGATGAGGTGCAGTGGAGCTGAAAGGGACGGCAGCGACAGTCAACGGACCGCTCGACATTAACTGATAATGCTCGCGTAATACTTCAGCAACACTCGGAGAACACGTGCGGAGATTCGAACAGAATTCTTTTATTGTGTAGTTAGTTGTTGTATGTATTAAAACAAGCTGTACAATCATGTCATATAAAAGTAGATAGCAATGTAAGATACTACAACTCCACCAAGTGCATATTCACTTATTGCACACAAAATATTTCTCGTATTTCTGTGGAATGTAAACCACAATTTCGTCGGCGTCACTCTTCGATCATCTTCTCAAACCTATACACCACTCCTGACTGTACTTCTAGTGAGTTGTCTACATTCCTGGATGTATTCCATCCAATCATGTTGGAGAAATCTGTCACATCTGTATTCATCGTTGCTGGCGATTTCAACAGATATGATGTGAGTTTTTACACACCTTTGTCCCTTCAGAACATTGTTACTTTTTCCACACCAGACGATGCGTCCTTGGACCACATTTTCATTAACGAACCATCTTTTTTCCGTGTCTTCAAGCGTGCACCAGTAGGCAATTCCGATCACTGTCTGATTAAAGTTTACCTACGATATATGGTAAATGCAAGCAACAAGTCCTGATGAAGAACGATGTATGTAAGATAAGTTTACGACAAAATCATCTGACCAATTTGATGGAATTAAAATCCATGGATGGTGGTAGGAACTCACAACAACTCTTCGATCCTGATATTTTAGTCGTCTGTGAGAACCTTACCAATTGCCTCAACTATTGTTATGATATGTGCTACATCCAAGAAAGGATTCACCTACAACCCAACCGCTTCATTTCCGATAGACTGAAATGGTTACAAGGGTTGAAAGAAAGGGCGTATCGCTCGAGAGATAAACTGACGGTCAAATCTGTCAGTTTTTACATCAGAAGCGGGATAGCACATCTCAATCAATTGTATTCTGACACCGTGCTAGAAGACAAATCCGGCCTTCAGCTAGGGAACGGACTGAGGTTCCTCTGTTATCGTTCAACTTTACCTACTACAGTCTCATGTGATATCAGTTAGCTGAACAAATCTTTTGCTTCAGTGAAAAACGTTATGTAAGCTTTACCAAATCCAAACACAACGTCACTTCATCTCCACCTTCCTGTGTTCGTCACAACAGAACAAGTTTTAAAGGACTTAAAGGCTATCAATGGAAACAAATCCGCTGATCCTGATGGGTTATCCTCAACTGTCCTTAAAACATGTGCTAACCACATTGCACAAAGCGTTTTATTTATTCTTAATACATATCGGTCAGAAGGAAGACTAGTTACCACATGGCGTGATATGCGCATTACTCCAGTACCTAAGAAAGAAAGGGTAAGTTGCGGCCTATTGCTTTCTCTTCAATAGTACTTAAGACTTTTCAACGTATTAATAATAATAATAATAATGGTATATTTCACGAAGCCCGTGAAGCATGCAAGTGCGCACGATCAAATTTACAACAATGGTACAAAGAAGGCGTCGGAAAGCCAAAAGTGAAAGTACAAAGAGATTATGGACATAAAAATTATTTTTTTTTCATGGATCAGGAGATTTCGTGAAGATGCTCTGGGATGAAGGAGACACAAAACGGACAGGGTTATGGAATGGAGTGCTGAGGATGATCTGTTATGGAGAACACATAAATATAAGCGATTGTCATGTAAAGGACACTT